CCTAGGAAGAGGGTGTGATTATTTTCATGGGATTAGTATTCTATGAGACTAATGTATGAAATGTTCATTTTACCCTTATGCTATTATTTAATAAACAATTGGAAAAGGGTAAAATAGTCTTTTAAACATTTATAAATTATTTTTTTAGTGTTGTTAATTTAAAATTATATATTAAATAAAAAATATAAATTATAAATTAAATTTAATTAAAAATAATAAATTATAAATTATGGCCTTATAAATTAATTTTTTTTAGTGTTGTTAAATTATAAATTATAAATTATAAATTACAAATTTAAAATTATATATTAAATAAAAATTATAAATTACAAGGGTAAAATAGTCATTTGAACATTTATCCTTATCCAATCCATCGAACCAAATATTGGATTCACTAAAAATAGTCTAATCCAGACATCTAATTCTATGACTAAACAAACATAGGATACAAATCCAGTCCAACCAAATAGTCCGAGGACAATGTATCCAGAACTAACAGTCCGATGGATTACAATCCCCCCATTATCCAGCCCGTCCAAACAAACACACCTAGGAGTAAAAAAGGAATCTGAACGACCCGATACGATAAACAAAACACCGAAAGAAATGCATACTACCCCACTACACAATACTATTCAAGCCCAAAACTTGAGACATCACAAGTAAACTCTTCTGGTGTGACGACGCAAAAAAGAGAATTGATAGCTTTACTATTTCAGCTACTATTTTGGTAATCAGTTGTGTCTCATTTATCCATTGGTTTGGGAAAAGTTACTCCATTAATGATAATCGTTGGTTCGTTCCACCCACACATAATGGATTGGCAATTTTTTTCATTTATAGATTTCAAAAATATTCTCATCCGAGCTTTCCAAAAAGGATAATTAGATCCATCAAGTAGAGATGGTCATACCGTTGAATTCCCTTCATGAATTGAATCCATTATCACAAATCAAACAGGATCTCGCTCCTAAAGTTTTTTAAAAAAAATTGAGTGACCTGCTTTGATATCAATTGAAAAATCTAAAAATTCTTAATATATTGATTTGTGATTATGTTTCAATTTTTAAACAATAAATAATAACCATAATCAAATAGTCAAAGACAAATTGACATAATAATTTAATGTGAAAAAATCACAACTGGAGTGCCTCCAACTGTGATAAAAAATCACGAGCAAAAACCACAAAACTATTCACTAAGAAGACAAAAATGAATTACACAAGTGTACTCTCAATTACCCAGTGAATCCACGCCCGAATTGAACCAATCCCAATGTGTCTCTTCCACCACTGTCTTCACCTCAGAATTGTCTTGTCTAATATTGAATCCACAACGCTGATGTCGAATCCACGACAACGAACCACTCCAAAATCCAACAAAGCTTTAGACTCAAGTTTCCCGTAATCCACCGAAGAACAACTCTCTCTTTTGTAAACGAAATAATAATAACAACCCTTGATGTTCGACAATCTGAAGTTTGTTGATCAATCAATCACCTTCTATACACCAAGAAAACTCATATAAACTAGCCTCCAATATAAAGTACTTTATTTTTCTTTCTCTTTGAAAATTTGAATGGCTCCAACCCTAAAAACAATGAACAACGCACTTTATAGAAAACAAGATCGCATAGACCGCTCAAACACACATTTCACTGCTCGAGCGATGTGACTAAAGGCGGTGCAAAACATATAGGCTGACCGCTCGAGCCGTAAAACTTTCTTCCTAGAAGTTCAGATGCTCTGCAAAAGTACTAGATGATCATTTTCTTCGCTTGACCACACTTAATGGCTCCAACCCTAAAAACAATGAACAATGCACTTTATAGAAAACAGGATCGCATAGACCACTCAAACACACATTTCACTGCTCGAGCGATGTGACTAAAGGCGGTGCAAAACATATAGGCTGACCGCTCGAGCCGTAAAACTTTCTTCCTAGAAGTTCAGATGCTCTGCAAAAGTACTAGATGATCATTTTCTTCGCTTGACCACACAAATGACCACTCGAGCAGTCAAACAACTTCGATTGCATTTTTGCTTTTTGCTTCAGGGGCGCTGTCCCCCCACCTCGCCTAGGCGTTGCCTCCTGTACCCCCACGAGCTAACCAGGTAGCTCAATTCTCATACATAGTCAGTGAAGTGGCAAACATGAAAATATTAAGATCACAAACTCCGCACAATTCGGGTTAGAGTTGCATCTAAACACTCATAGCTTCACTGAAACAAAAGAGCAAATAAAATTACAACTAAAAGGAGTTTTGTCAAATAAGATTGCCAATTACAAAAATCTAACACTGTCACTAACAGGATTAAGGAGCGAAGCCAACTTAAATCACACAAAACTGAAGCTTTGTTTCTAGTAGTCAATGTCTTGAAGATTTTCAATTTGGCCTAAATTAATTTCAGTTACCATTACTCGTAAAAACTAGGGGTGTTCGCGGATCGGTTTTGTGCGGTTTGCGGTTCGGTTTTGACCCGCCCGCATCTATGCGGTTTGGGAAAAAGTCAACCCGCAACCGCCCGCAGTGCAGTTTGCGGTTTGTGCGGATAGGGTTTGCAAATGTGCGGGCGGTTGCGGGCGGTTTACGGTTTACACTTTTTTCTTTAAAAATTAATTTTTGAGTTTTTTTTTCCCAGCGAATTTAGGCATCAGATTCATTTTATATATTTGTGATAACAATTTTTTGATGAGTTTACAAATAAAAATTGAATATCAATGCATTAAATGAAAGTACCCAAAACAAAGAGACCTTACACTAGCATTTTTGCCATGAAAAAAATGTATATCAATGCATTAAAGGTTGTACTCAATTAGAATTGCCAGTTCAGTAATCAATAATCAAACTATAAGTTCTATCGACTATTAGAAGGAAAATTTTATTAGAAAAAAGTGGATGAATCACCAATGAAAATCATATAAGAAACCAAGTTTAGGACTTGATAATTTTACGGCATTAAGAAAGTTGAGAAATACTTAAAAATAAGGATCCTAGTGCCATAGAAAATATAATTGTGTTCCTGTAAAAGTTACAAAGTTAGTATAAAAAATAATAATAATAATAATAATAATAATAATTAAAGTGCGGGTGGTTTTTGCGGGTTGCGGGTTTAAACCGCAATTCGCCCGCAACTCGCAAATTTATCATATTTCAAACCGCATCCGCCCGCATTATGTTTGCGAAACCGCCCATTTATATGCGAGTTGGGCGGATTGGGCGGTTTGAGCGGTTCGGATAAACCGTTGCCCACCCCTAGTAAAAACTGTAACTCTTTGCTTGATTCTTGTGAAAATAGTAATATTAATGACTCAAGTTTTGCTTTTGACATATAATTTGACATTTTAAAATTAATTTTATCAGCGTATTTGACAATATATAAAATTAATGTATTATGTGAAAGTGGATATTTGATAAATTATGTAAAATTAAGAGCTCTTACGTAATGATATTAATGATGATTTGTTAAATGACCTGCTGAATAAATTTTTTGGCTACATCATTGCATATTTGCCATTTTAATTATAAAAATCACACTAATACACTTCTTTTTAAAGGAGTTTGGAAAAGATGAAAATGATATATTTTTGTAAGCAAGGGAGGACAAAATGTACGAATTGATAAAGAAATAGGTAAAATGGTATTCACTGATATTTTATAGGTCTTGATATAATTAATTCAAAATAAATATAAACATATTTAATATTTTTTTATAAAATAAAAAAGTAAATTATAAATACATTATCTCAAATTTACTTAAAATATAAATTATCATGTAATTTTGAAAAATTACGTGTTTAATTAATTATTTTTATTAATAAATTATTAAGGTAATTAATAGTTTTTAATAATATCATAAATTTATTTTAATTAATAATTTAAATAATTTTATTATTATATAAGAAAGAAGTTATGAATTTTACTTGGAGGAGTCTAGTCCGAGATATGGATTGGAGGGGTTGTTTTGGCTTGTGAGACCTATCACACGTCCTGTTTTGATAATTTGAATTGTTTATTTTGTCGATCACTTCGTATATTTTGTCCCAAAAAAATTAGGTCGATATAATAAGTGTAATTTGTTCAATTTATTATTTTTGTCATCAAAAAAATATATGATTTATTTTTATATCTATTTTTTTAGTGAAAAATATAATAAATTGAATAAGTTACAGTTATCGAATCAATCTAATTTTTTTAAATAAAATATATGAAATGTCTAACAAAATAAACAATTCAAATAATTGAAATAGAACCCGTAATAAATCCCATGAGTCTAAACAACGTCTATATTTTAAACTCCTTTTATTTTAAATGAGAGATTTTGAAAAATTTATCAAAATTTTTATTAAATATGTCACATATGTAAAATCTACATTAAACAAGACATTTGTAAAAATTTTGATAATTCTTTTCGCTCTCTAGCATTTTCTTTTTATTTTTTCAGTCTGTTGAATAAAAATTTTCAAATTGGAAAGAATTTTTCAAAATTTTCCAGGTAAGAGCATCTCCAACGGTGTACCAAATTTTTCACCAAATCTGAGTGAAAAATGAGTCATTTCCTTAATTTGATACTTCGCGCTCCAACGGTTCAACATCAAATCCGTTTCATCAAATTTGCACTGGGCAACCGGTTGGTTGACCGGCCGGTCGACCGGCCGGTCAACCTTGGTAGTCGACCGGGTGGTCAACCGGCCGGTCGACCACCTAGGCAATTTTTTTTTTTTTTTGGCTGGTTTGAACCTTTTTGTGAACGGTCTGAACTTTCTCCGGGGCGACCGGTTGGTTAACCGGTTGGTCAACCGGATGGTCGACCCGTTCGTCTCATCCCAACGGTTAGGAACAGTAATTTGGTTAAACGCTTCGCCTGCACTCAGTTTGGTACCATTTTTGCTGAATTCTGGATGTGATATCGATCTGATGAAATCATTGGAGCTTAAAAAAATGACTTTTTCACTAAATTTTAAATTTGATGCCAAGTTTGATACACCGTTGGAGCAGACAGAGCCGAGCAAAACACTCACAGAGCAATCAGAGACGTATTCCTAAGAAGAAGAAGAACAAGACGAAGAGCCCCCCAAAAAATGCGACCTCAGTACCAACCCACCAAACCTATCAACAACAGCAACAACAAGAAGCTCTACTTCTTCTACGGCCACCGCAAGCCCTCCCAGAACCGTCCCACCGTCCGCGGCGGGCTTTTCTCGAACCGTCAAATTCTAAACCCCAATCGCAATCCCAATCCCAATCCCAACCCCCAATTTGATCTCCAAAAATGGGACCCAGACTCCCCCACAAGCCTCTCAACCCCACCCACAAAAACCCCATCTGAGAAATTCTTCTCCGTAGCCCAAAATCTCTCTCCCGTCGCTCGCTACATCGTAGATTCATTCCGGAAGCACAAGAATTGGGGTTCCCCCATTGTTGCAGACCTCAACAAGCTTCGCCGTGTGACCCCCAATCTGGTGGCCGAGGTCCTCAAAGTCCAGTCTGATCCCAGACTCTCTTCCAAGTTCTTCCACTGGGCTGGTAAGCAAAAGGGTTATGCTCATGATTTTTATTGCTATAATGCATTTGCTTACTGTTTGAACCGCAACAATCAGTTCCGGGCAGCTGATCAGGTCCCTGAGTTGATGCACTTGCAGGGTAAGCCTCCCACTGAGAAACAATTTGAAATTCTTATTAGAATGCACTCTGATGCTAATAGGGGTCTCAGGGTGTACTATGTGTATGAGAAAATGAAGAAATTTGGGCTGAAACCCAGGGTTTTTTTGTATAATAGGATAATGGATGCGCTTGTGAAAACGGGTCATTTGGATTTGGCAATGTCGGTTTATGGTGATTTTAAGGAAGATGGGTTTGTGGAGGAAAGTGTTACTTTCATGATTTTAGTTAAGGGTTTGTGTAAGGCAGGGCAGATAGATGAAGTTTTGGAGCTTTTGAGCCGAATGAGGAGGAACTTGTGCAAACCGGATGTTTTTGCATACACGGCAATGGTTCGTGTGTTGGTTGCAGAGGGGAATTTAGATGGTTGCTTGAGGGTTTGGGAGGAAATGAGAAGGGATCAGGTGGAGCCAGATATTATGGCTTATGCTACTCTGGTTACCGGGTTATGCAAAGGGAGACAGGTTGAGAAAGGTTATGAACTGTTCAAAGAGATGAAAGCGAAGGGGTGTTTGATAGATCGGGCTATCTATGCATCATTGATTGAGGCATTTGTGGCAGATGGGAAGGTTGGTTCAGCTTGTGATTTGTTGAAGGATTTGATGGACTCTGGTTATAGGGCTGATTTGTCGATATACAATTCTCTCATTGAAGGCTTGTGTAACCTGAACCATGTTGACAAGGCTCGTAAACTTTTCCAGGTCACAGTTCAAGAGGGTCTCGAGCCAGACTTCGTGACTGTGAATCCCATGATGTTGTCTTATGTTGAATTGAAAAGAATGGATGACTTTTGCAACTTACTTTTGCAGCTGCAGAATCTGGGTTTTGAAATCATTGACTATCTTTCAAGATTCTTCTCATTCATGGTGAGAAAGGAGGCTAGAATAATGATGGCTTTAAAATTGTTTGAAGACTTGAAGGTGAAAGATTATTGCAGTGTTTCAATTTACAATATTCTTATGGAGGCTCTCCACAAGGTTGGAGAGGTGAATAAGGCATTATCACTCTTTCATGAATTAAATGATTCAAAATTTGAACCTGATTCATCAACTTACAGCAATGCAATTACATGTTTGGTTGAAGTTGGAGATATCCAAGAAGCATGTACGTGCTATAATAAAATAAAAGAGATGTCTTCAGTTCCCTCTATTGCTGCCTATTGTTCACTTGTTAAAGGGCTCTGCGAAATTGGAGAGGTCGATGCAGCTATGATGCTAATTCGTGACTGCTTAGCAAATGTTCCTAGCGGGCCCATGCAATTTAAGTATATTCTTACCATTCTTCATGTTTGTAAATCAAATGATGCTGAGAAGGTGATCGAAGTTCTAAATGAGATGATGGAAATAGGTTATCCTCCTGATGTTATTTTATATTCTGCTATTATCTCCGGCATGTGCAAGCATGGAACACTGGAGGAGGCAAGAAAAGTGTTCTCAAACATGAGAGAGCGCAAGTTTCTAAGTGAAGCTGATTTGATTATTTATGATGACAAACTAATTGAGCACATGAAGAAGAAAACGGCAGACTTGGTGCTGTTAGGATTAAAGTTTTTCGGTCTGGAATCCAAATTGAAAGCAAAAGGTTGTACACTTCTGCCGACTTGAGAACGCGTAGTTAGGTACTGACCCATTGATTTTTGGTATGACATTTACCTCTTTTAATATTTTTGAGTAAATTATATATAATTACATATGATTGATTCATCATCTTGCTTGAGTAGTATCTAATACATTGTGGTTGAATCCTCTTTCGGACTCTTGTAGTCATAGATGGATTATGCTTCAATGCATGATTGATGTGAATAGCTACCAATTCTTCATTGCCAATCTTTTATTATTATAAAGTGTAATCTCTTGTTTGTGAAATAACAAAAGAAAAGAAGAAAAAGAAAAAATCTCCCATGGTTAGGTTGTTTAGTACATCGTATTGGCCTTGCCATGTGAAGCTATCCACAATAAGCTCAATGGAAAGCAATGTATTTTATATATATATATTAAGTGAAGGAAAAGAAAATTTAAAGAGGAGATAAATTTTGAATTTTGGTTTGGTTACTTCTGGTTTGTTACAATTTGAGGGTTTCTTGGGGGCTTTTATAAGTGAGTTCAGCTTTTGTTGAGTCATATATAATGCATTCAAGTTAGTTTTCAACTGTTTCATTTTTATGCTGGTTTTGAAAACTTTTCTGGCTAAAGATGCTTAATAATTGCAAGATCTTATTAAACAACCTGTTAATTTCAGTTATGTTATTGGGTCTTTTATGGATGGGTTTTAGCAGGTTGATATGGGTTTTTACTTGTCAAAGTTTTTTAAGTTTCCAAATATAGTCCAACTGCTACTATATATTGGTCTGTAGTTATTTCAACTCTATAGATTAAAAGCATTGGAAGTTGTAGTTGTGATGCCTACAGAATTACAGTAGTGATGCATAGCATCTTCCTCTTTGCGACTAACGGCCTACGGGGTGCAATAAATCCAATTGATGGTGTCACAAAAGAACTCTTGAATTCGCCCAGCCCCAAACAATAATGTTCTAGAGGAAAATGCCCTTTAGGAATCAGAATAGAATCAGAAATTTCCCTTTAGGAATCAGAAAATGCCCTAAAGTGTTCGGTTGCTGAATCAGAAACCCAGGGGGGACAAAAGGGAAAGAAAGAGAAGAGAAAACAGGGGATTTTAGGAGGATGGTCATAGATCAACCTCCTACCTTACTTTGTAGAGCTGCCAAGCCGTTATACCCACTTTCTCCTAGTTAATAGGTCAGTAAATAAAAGCAGGCAGCAAAAGCTTGGTTTGAAAGGTGCAATATGTATAAAAAATAACCTTTCTTCCCTGTTGATGGGGGGTCAAGGAAAAGCACGTCTAAAGACCTATTTTAGGTGCTAGAAACGTCCACACGAAGCCTAATAATAATTTAGGAGATTGCATTTCTAATTTTATTTTATTTCTTGTTTTTTTTTTCTCTCTCTCTCCTTATTTGGTCCATATTTATATATATATATGGGCAAAATTCACTTAAGCTCCCTATGGTTTGAGCCTGGATCACTTTATCCCATTATGGTTCAAAATAGGCAGAGAGACTCCCTATGGTTTTGTACTGAACTGCCACAATAACTCTGTCAATGTAAGTTATAAAAGGATGATAATAGCCTTTATCTTCTTCCTCTAATTCTAATTATCTTTGAGGGGGTAACAAAAATTCAAACTTGTCTCCATGATTATTACTAGTGAAGCATAAATAATAATAATAATAATCTAAAATCTAATTATCAATTTTTTTTTTCTTGGATAAATAAACAAATTTGTTAGAAAAGCATCAAGATGATGCAAAGAATACAAAATTCAAACCCCCAAGGACAAATTGCTAAGCTATCAAATCCTCTACAAAATCTACATAAGCTAAAATATCTGGATCAATCAACCCTATAACCCGATTATATAACAACACCATAAACACCCGCCTCTCCAGCCAAGAAATCAAATGAGACACCCCTTGCAATACACGCCTATTGCGCTCCAACCAAATAAGCCACGTTAAAACAGTGAGAGGCAATCATCAATGCCTTCCGATGTCTCCTCCCAACCCTACTTCCAGCCCAACTTTGCAAGACTGCCAACACCGAACCTAGTTGCACCCAAACCAAACCAAAAGTCGCCACAATAAGCATCCAAAGCCAATATGTAAGTGGGCAATGAACGAGCAAATGGCCCACCGACTCAGCATCGCCATAACATAAACAATACCAATTCACCAGTATATGCCCACGGCGCATTAGATTATCAATTGTCCGAATACGTCCTAAGGTCACCTTGGATGGTGTGCCCAACACCCAAACACATTTCCAAGGAAACGAAGACGCATCAACATGAACAAGCGCAACATATTGGGAAGACACAGAAAAAAGCCCCTTAGAGCCGGGATAGACCCAAACCATAAAATCTTCCCTTACACCCCCAACTTGTAACCCATATAAGAAACCCAACAGCTCCACTAATTGATTCACTTCTCAATCCTGAACCTCATGACACAGCCACATGTTCCAAACGACCGCCTCTCCTTGCCCCGTTTGAACCGCCCCCACTATAACCTCACAATCTTCTGCAATCCCAAAAATCAATGGGAACAATTGCTCTAAAGAAGTATTCCCACACCACCTATCACGCCAGAATGGACTCTATCTCCTAACCTTACCTTTAGCTGAATCCTTTGCCAAAACTCCTCATAGTCCAACCAAATTCTTTTCCTGACACTACGACCATGAGGCTGTCCCACCCTACCCGAACACCACCCCCCTCTTCCCAGACCAAACTTTGCCACAGTCACCTTCCTTGATAAATGCTCCCTTTCTCCCACTTACCCAGCAACGCCAAATTAAAACATAACCAACCGCCTAATCCCCAAGCCCCTTTTCTCCTTAGGACGACAAACTCGATCCCATGCCACCAAATGAGAATGAGAACCCTCCCCCTCATTTCCCCATAAAAAATCCCGCTACAACTTCTCAATCCGTTTCGCAACTGCCACCGGGATCACATGAACCGACATAAAATAAGTCGGGATACTTGACAAGACACTCTTGACCAACGTAATCTCTCGCCTTTAGATAAATGTTGTCGCTTCCATCCTACCAACCGCCATTGCATACGCTCCACCACCTTACCCCCCACCCCGAGGGCCTTGAAAGAAGCTCCCAAAGGTAGACCAAGATACGAAATTGGTAGAGGAGCCATCTTGCATTCCAAAATCGCTGCCAAAATCGGAAGTCGAGTCATATAATAGAATGGGTCAAAGTGAAACACGACAATAATTTAAGGGGTCTATTTGTACGCTTTTATAATTTATGGGGTAAAGTGATACTTCTCAATAGTTTAGGGGTTCATTTGTACGTTTTTATAGTTTAGGAGGTCAAAATGATACTTTTCAATAGTTTAGGGGCTCTTCATGTAAATAACAAAAAAAATAAAAAATAAAGAATTATGTGTTTGACCTTTCTACCTAATACCATGGTCCTTGGTGATTAGGGTTGCAAATGAACAGAGTTCCTCGCGTATTCGGCTCAATTCGTTACGTATATAAATAGGCCCAAGCTAGATGTTTAGGCTCGTTTGATAAATGAGTCAAGCTCGAGCTAGTATAAGCTCGACTTATGTATTATTTATTTAAATAATAGGATCTACTATTTGTATATTAAATAATGTAAATTGTGTTATATGTCATTTAATATGAAATAATATCTAACTAGCTAACCAAACTTGATTATCGAGCCACACTTTTTCTTCATTATTGAGCTTCGAGCTCAAGTTGTGTTGTATTAATTTTCAAACCGAGCTTGAGCCTTGCAAAGTTCGGCTCAGCTTGACTCGTTTATAGCGCTTTGGCAATTCAAAGAATATGCAAGATACGTTAGAATAAGATGTCAATTCCTTCAAAATTGATTAAACACTCTGAGGGTGTGTTTGGATCATGAATTTGGGTAGTGATTTGGAAAGGGAAAAGAAAAGGGGAGAGGATTCCCTTTTCAAATCCCTATCCAAATCTACTATTTAAATACAGCCTAAAGGAGAACAATTGCTGACGGACTTCCATGAGAAGCACCAAGAAAACTATGAAAACATTCACATACAATTTTTTCAACTTTCCAAGTCCTTAGGAAAGCGTCTTCTTGAGTAATATTTGGATGATCTTCCTGTTTTGCTTGGTTTAGGACATAGTAACCGTGTTAGCCAACCCTATGGTCATTCTTGAGGGACATCTTAGTCATATGGCCATGATACCCTTGTTAGAGAGAGTTGAGTACAAAATTCGAATAGAATAGCCTCTTTAGATGTCCAACCTCATGGAGTAGGAGAAAATAGGAATTTACTAGGGTATGCTGAGAACTTTGACAATGGGTTTGCATGACACAGCCGCACGTTCCAAACCACCGCCTCTCCTTGCCCCGTTTGAACCGCCCCCACCATAACCTCACAATCTTCTGCAATCCCAAAAATCAAAGGGAACAACTGCTCTAAAGAAGTATTCCCACACCATCTATCACGCCAGAATGGACTCTATCTCCTAACCTTACCTTCAGCTGAATCCTTTGCCAAAACTCCTCCTAGCCCAACCAAATTCTTTTCCAGACACTACGACCATGAGGCTGTCCCACCCTACCCGAACACCACCGCCCTCTTCCCAGACCAAACTTTGCCACAGTCACCTTCCTTCATAAATGCTCCCTTTCTCCCACAAAACGCCACAACCACTTACCCAGCAATGCCAAATTAAAACATAACCAATCGCCTAATCCCCAAACCCCTTTTCCCCTTAGGACGACAAACTCGATCCCATGCCACCAAATGAGAATGAGAACCCTCCCCCTCATTTCCCCATAAAAAATCCCGCTAAAACTTTTCAATCCGTTTCGCAACTGCCACCGGGATCACATGAACCGACATAAAATAAGTCGGGATACTTGACAAGACACTCTTGACCAACGTAATCTCTCGCCTTTAAATAAATGTTGTCGCTTCCACCCTACCAACCGCCGCTGCACACGCTCCACCACCTTTCCCCACACCCCGAGGGCCTTGAAAGAAGCTCCCAAAGGTAGACCAAGATACGAAACTGGTAGAGGAGCCATTTTGCATCCCAAAATCGCTGCCAAAATCGGAAGTCGAGCCACATAATAGAGTGCGTCAAAGTGAAACACGACAATAATTTAAGGGGTCTATTTGTACGCTTTTATAGTTTATGGGGTAAAGTGATACTTCTCAATAGTTTAGGGGTTCATTTGTACGTTTTTATAGTTTAGGAGGTCAAAATGATACTTTTCAATAGTTTAGGGGCTCTTCATGTAAATAACAAAAAAAATAAAAAATAAAAAATAATGTGTTTGACCTTTCTACCTAATACCATGGTCCTTGGCGATTAGGGTTGCAAATGAACAGAGTTCCTCACTAATTCGGCTCAATTCGTTACGTATATAAATAGGTCCAAGCTAGATGTTTAGGCTCGTTTGATAAATGAGTCAAGCTCGAGCTAGTATAAGCTCGACTTATGTATTATTTATTTAAATAATAGGATCTACTATTTGTATATTAAATAATGTAAATTGTGTTATATGTCATTTAATATGAAATAATATCTAACTAGCTAACCAAGCTTGATTATCGAGCCACACTTTTTCTTCATTATTGAGCTTCGAGCTCAAGTTGTGTTGTATTAATTTTCAAACCGAGCTTGAGCCTTGCAAAGTTCGGCTCAGCTTGACTCGTTTATAGCGCTTTGGCAATTCAAAGAATATGCAAGATACGTTAGAATAAGATGTCAATTCCTTCAAAATTGATTAAACACTCTGAGGGTGTGTTTGGATCATGAATTTGGGTAGTGATTTGGAAAGGGAAAAGAAAAGGGGAGAGGATTCCCTTTTCAAATCCCTATCCAAATCTACTATTTAAATACAGCCTAAAGGAGAACAATTGCTGACGGACTTCCATGAGAAGCACCAAGAAAACTATGAAAACATTCACATACAATTTTTTCAACTTTCCAAGTCCTTAGGAAAGCGCCTTCTTGAGTAGTATTTGGATGATCTTCCTGTCTTGCTTGGTTTAGGACATAGTAACCGTGTTAGCCAACCCTATGGTCATTCTTGAGGGACATCAAGAGTCATATGGCCATGATACCCTTGTTAGAGAGAGTTGAGTACAAAATTCGAATAGAATAGCCTCTTTAGATGTCCAACCTCATGGAGTAGGAGAAAATAGGAATTTACTAGGGTATGCTGAGAACTTTGACAATGGGTTTGAAGTATTTCATAGGCCGCCCAGACCTTTAGGTAGGCACCAAGAGAGATGCCAAGCATAGGTATTATCTTGAGGTGCCTTCAACAAAAGATCAGATTAGATGCCCCTAGCTATGTTGGTAGGTTGGATTCTAACGCTTTCTTGGATTGGCTTGAGATGACTATTTTGACTAGTAGATGCCCCTAACGTTGATCAAGTAAACGTGTGATCAGATGGATCAGATAACATCCAATTGTGATCTGGTGCATCCAGTCAACACACTCCTTCGGTGTGAGACACGGTCCGCATTGTAGATGTTCGATTCAACAACCATATCTCAACCTGAATTTATCAGATGCGATCAATGGACAAGACCCATCCAATCAGGTACATCTAGGCCTAAAAATATTCTGCGAATCCAGCCATTCATTCCACCCCAGAATTCAGAATTCTCTGTCTCTCTGTCGCTGTCTCTCTCTCTCTCTCTCCACCCCATTCAATATATTGGTTCTTCTGATCATATCAAGGCTATTCTGGTTTACAGTTGTTTGTGCAAGCCACCGGTAGATAGATCTTTACTTTAGATCAGACTTTCATTGTATCTTGGAGGCAAATTTGCTCTAACCTAGTGCACACAATCTAATGGGGGCAAATATTGTCTTTAGGAAAGTAACATTATAACACAATTTGAAGCAATTATTTTTGTCATTTTCTTAGAGGTTCTCGAAGACACAAGATTTGAAGACTATCTTGCAGATCAGATTTTTCCAACAATAAGCTCAAAGAATGGTGTTAACTTGAAAAATCAGTATATTCTAATACTAATTGGAAAAAATATTGATTTGTTGATATAATTACCTTTGGTGTTGTTTGGTTGATTTATCTTAAACACAATCTAATTCGCAAGCATAAAAAAGTAAATCAAGTACACAGAGACTCGCAGTTGTTAACGTGAAAAACCCAAACAGGAAAACCATGGGACCTAGGTCAGAAAACCATTCCACTATAAAGTACAAAATATAATTTGTAACTTACAAACCAACTCTAACCGAATCCATGATGTCAAATCCACAATCTTTGTCTTCAATGGTTAGGTGAGTATTGTATTCACAATACATCTGGATTCCACCATGAGCTGAACACAATCCACTTTGGAATCCACCAAGTCAATCACCAATGTATGAAAAATGATGTAGGTGGCAGAGATTGAATGATCTTCAGCACAAAGTATTTTGAAGTACTCCAAACTTGTTTGGGTACACACCCTCTAGGGTCCTATTTATAGTTGAAGTGACCTAGGGTTGACTTAATGACCTCTTCATGCAATATTGGCACCTTCCACTCGAGCTCGCAAAATCCTGCTTGTGGGTGCTTTAAAAATAGGCATTATGGTGTAACCTCGCTTGAGCATGCTTTTTGCAGAAATTCCATTTACTTCCTTTGGCTCATTGAAAGCTTGTACTCATGTGCATTATGGACATGTAATTGTTGGATCCAATGGTCCAAAAATAGGGTGCATAGCATATTACACCCCTTTAAGGAGGGGTATATGGAAGTTGAACCCATGGTACTAAAATAAACCATTCTCTAGAAATTAGGTATTCGTTTGAGAGCCAGTAGCCAGTTTATTTTTTTAATATCTTATAAAAATTTCATTTAAATATCAAGTTTAAACTATTTATCTTGTATTGTGTTCATCTCTCACACTTGTGTTATATAAAAAAATATTGTATATGCAATTTATTTTATTGTTTAATTGTTGATATTCGATTTTAGTATCATTTTTTATTTATTTAATTTACTTTTTGTAAAGTATGGAATTGATTGGATGTGGATATGGGACACGTGTCACTTTAAGGATACATCAATTTAAAAAATTCCAAAAAAATAGGGTACTATTGTATTCTCACTATTTTCTTATTCTTTAAGAAGTGAAGTATTGAAAAATTATTCTCGTTAATGATTATACTCTAATGCTATCAAGAATTATTACAATCCCAATTTCATAATAGTTCAAATACCTGAATATCCAAAAATTATCATACTCAAAATTAAAGAAATTTATTTCAAGTTTTGGATACATTTTGGAAGCATCAAATACGTATTTGTGAGCATTCAAAGAGTATTGTTATCCAATAAGGGTATGACATGGATATAACTCCCTTTTAGAACTGTCCATGCTTTGTAGGTCAAAATGCTAGATGGGTTAGAATAGGTTGTGGGTCCAACCCAAAACTGAATGGACCCAACTCAAATAGAATCGCTCACTAATTGGGCGGATTTGGGTTGACTTGTCTAAACCACCACCTGAATTGACAACTATCCGATCCCACCCATTTGCCATCCGTAGTGTCATCGTAATTAACGCAACCTGAATTGAGCAAAATGGTCCTTGTTTCTTTGTTCTTTGCATCATTTTGTTATAGTCTTGGAGAGAATTTTTTGTATATTTCTGTTTATATATATATGTTTTTATATTTTGTTTGGTCGAATTGTTAGAAGTTTCAAAGTAACTAGAAAGAGAGTAAATTTTTAATGGTGTAAGCCTTTCATTATTGTTTACAGAATCTATGACCTTACTCATATCCAAGTTAATCATATGACTGGGAACTTACCAGTTGCTGGTTTTTGTAGGTTGATTTGAATCTCTGTAGGATTCAAATGGCAGATGCAATCATGTAATGCTTGAGGCTTCGGCTATTGATCCAAAGCTTCTGCAGAATCAGAAGTGGTAGTGACTATGGCCAAGATTCTTTTTGTATCCGTCCAAAGGCATGTGGATCAATTCATGGTCAATGTTTGTCAAATTTTGAAGTATACTACAACAAAGATGCTAAAGGTTGAATAGAGGAAAATGCCTTTCTTATACAAGGTTTGGATGTAATGAAGAGCAATGCCGACATATTGAAGATGCTTCCCCTTTGTTGTGGAGCAATCATGGCACCATAGCAGTATCTGGTGATTTGTGAGTGCCTCTCACTCACATGCGTGACTGTTGAAACGGGGGTTCATAGTCTGGGCGCCGACCTTTCATATCCCATTCAGTTGAAGTTCATTTGGCTTTTCCATGAATATGTCTTTTGAAGTACTGGGATTCATGGTTAAGAACATTTCCTCACTCCAAGCCATATTGTTGCTTGATTTCCGATCCCAAACTCCAAGTTCACAAGATTCTGTTTGAGTTATATCAAAAGATTAAATTTGCGTCTAAATGCTCCATTCTTCATGCTAAGTCAAGCAGTGTTCAATAATCCGTGCAAGCAACATGGTTTTGTGCCATTCTCGTTCGGTCCTGCTGGTGTCTAAGAAATGTATGAACTTACTCTAAACAAGCTTGAACAATTATTTTGGCATAACCAATTTTAGAAGCTGCAGAAAATTTTCTTTATTGGTCAGTGAGATTGACCTAGTGAAATGAATCACTACACAATTGTCTTATTGGTCAAACTTCAGCAAGACTGATGTGCTTTTTATTCTCTTTTTATTCTTCCCTTCGCTAATAATGCTCTGTTCAATGGTAGATTCCTATGCACATCAATGAATACATGCAGATATGACTATTCTCTTGATTATGTTCCTTGAGATTTTATGGTCCTTCAAATCCACAAAGTGGAAGTTCTTTTTGTTTTGTTGGAGTCCTTTATTCGTTTTAAGGAATAGATTAGTCGTTTAGTAACAAGAAATATTATAATAATCGATGAAAGAAAAAACAAAGAAAGGAATTGTAATCAATATATATTTGTATATATAAGAATCTCTTTTCTTGTGGCTTGTTTTGAAATTGGTTATTTTGTCCTTCAGTTTGGTTGGTGAAACAATTTAGATGGTGGCCTTTCGGAAATTATGTAAAAAAAATTGCTTTGCTTTGCTTTGGTTGGGAAGGTTTGTCTTGGGTTGTCTATTTTGTTCTTAGCTTGTTTTTGAATTTCCTATTTTGTTCTTTAACTTGGTGAAATAAGGAAAATTATTAAGTGCTCTCCGATTATTATGTGCCTATATTTCCTTACCAATCAATATTTACCATGTCTTCTCATATTCTTCAATTAATCAATATAAAATTATAATATTTCATCTTCTTCACCAATCACAATATCATGGAGTACCACGTGGCCGTACTTCGAAAATTACCCAATAATTGCTTGTGAAGTACTTGAGGTGGTGGGCTTTTGAAAATTATGTAAGGAATTTAGCCTAATAGATCAAAATGAGAGATTTTTTTGAGTTTATTTATAGAATGATCATTCCTTTATAATAGTGAAGAATCAATTTTTAATACTTTTTTCATCATATATGAGAATGAACATTTTAATTGATCATTCCATTCCACTTTCATTTCAGTAAACTAAACACTACTAATGAAACTTATCACATCAAATAAGTATTGAATAACAAAATGAACTAACCCAAAAGACATTTATATAAAACAACAAAATTATTGAATAACTAGTTTGGTGACTATTTGAAGTTGATATGAATTTAGACAATACCACAAGTGGTCATGAACAAACACTTAAGTGTTAAAAGTATAATTATGTTAGAATTATAAGACTTATTATTTATTTATTTTTAATTTTTATTATTTTTAATAAAATTTATATAATTTGATCAAATATAATGATTTATTCTATTCAATTGCATAAAAAAATATTCTTTTTTTTTTTAAATTATCAAAATACAAAACTTAAATTTACTGTAATAATAGCCCGTACCTTGCACAAGCCTTTTTTTTTAAATTAGTATATATATATATTTGTGTAAATTACACTGGCACTCCTTGAGGTTCCTATTTAACACAGATCCCTTCCTCACATTTGAAAAATTAAACTTACCCTCCATCAAATTAAAATGACATATTTATTCCTTAGCCTTTATACATGTAAAATAATAAAATGCTACTGATATTTTGTTCATATCATTTCAAGAGAAATAACAATCATCTTATTTGGTATAGCGATTCCGGTTTTGACCAATCACTTGTTGTATTCCAGACTCGGGTTTATATGGTTTTGAATGGTGATTCATATCTTGTTTCCCTTGTATCTCCTCTATTTTGGTTATTGGATTGTAATTGTGCGTTTGGAACAGGTTGGTTGCTTGTTTTTCCAAACCTTTATTGCTTAGATTTTTGCTCCTCTGCTCGAGCGGCCATTCTTGCGCTCGAGCGGGCTTTGCAATCTTTCCTCCTCCGCTCGAGGAGCACTTCTTGCGCTCAAGCGGGCTTTGCGAACTCTCAGTACTTAGCAGGTCTACAAAACTATTGGGAGAGTGTTTTTTAAGCTCAAGCGGCGTTTCCTGTGCTCGAGCGTTGGTTTGTTGTCTGCAAAACTTCTGGATGTGTGTTTTCTACGGTCAAGAGGCTAATTCTTGCGCTCGAGCAGTGAGTGTTCGTTGTGTCTTGGCGCTCGAGCGGAACAACTTTTTGTATCTGACGCTCAAGTGTCAACTCTTTGGCTCGAGCGGACTGTGCGTATATCAGATCGCGAAAGTGACATTTTATATCACTTTTTCATTGTTCTCTCTCTCTAAAACTTTCTAAAAACCTAGATCTTGACTCCTCCTCTGTAAAATACTCTCTCTCTCTCTCTACATTTTGGCCTAGATCCTTTGGGTTCTCTATCCTAATGTCTTTGAAAAAAAGTTAGAACATTTCAAGAACATCATTTTGATCCGATTAGAACGTGAGGGTTTTGCTTTGCTTTGCTTTGCTTTGCTTGGTCTTCTCTTCTTGAGGTAGGGATTTTCTACACTTTAATATGGGTTTTAACTTAGTTATTTGTTATTGTGTAACAATGGTGGGATTTGGGGGTAACGTGAACAACCCTAGGGTTTGGGTGTAAAATGGAAAGAGGGGTTTTGGTGAATGAGAGGTAAATGATTGTGGGGTTTGAAAATGATGTTGTATGGTGTCAAAATTGTTGATTTTGGTACTTGGTTGAGACTTGGGAAGAGAAGGAGTTTTCCCTAAAATGGTTATGATATTTATTTTGTATAAATAACTGAAATTGGTATTGTAAACAAGAAATTGGATGAGTATTGAAATACATGGTGGAATTGAGTAGATGATATCGGTGGAGGATAGCTATGACTATTGTAGAAATTTCATAAGGATTAGGTGAATTAAAACTAATCCATGGTTAGTTATCATTGAACATGATCATGTTTTAAATACATTGCATATGTATGATTGTTTGGGAGGAGAAATGAGATGTACCCCACAGTTTGGGAGGAGAAAGGAGATGGGCTCCATTACAATTAAGTTGGTCGGAGTGTCCTGGGTGAAAGTCTCGAAATTTATATATGGGTATCGATCCCACGGACGAAATTTTCGTAAAATGGCATATTGAAGTGTTGTGTGTTAATGGTGTGATTGTAGAACCATTGAGTTCTAGTCTCATTTGGTTATTGAAAAATAATGAAATTGGCTCATGTACTAAAATGAATTGAAGGAGAATGAAATGAAATATGGATTTGGTATTCTATGACTATATAAAAATGTGAATGTTTTATCCCTAGCATTGTATATGCACATTGCACTTATATCTTTGTTAAATCTCATATATTGTGCTAGATTACTTCTACTGGGTTGTGGCTCACCCTATTTGGGAAAAATATTTTCAGGTATTGATGGCATGTCTCTACCAAGGTATTGATGGCATGTCTCTACCAAGGCAATAGCATTAGAGGGACTTTTGGGAAGCAAGAGCTTCTTTGTTTTATTTCACGTTTTGTATAGCCTAGGGCTTAAATTGTACGAGCTAATCTCACTTTTGTTGTAACGAAGCTAATGCTTGGAAAGGTGTAAGCCTAAAGGGCATTTATTTATGCTGAACTCTTTTGTACTATTAATATTATGAAATGAAAGAACTTACACTCTGATTCATGCCGTTATTTATATATATTTGGGTTGAGCTTATGGTTATATTTTTGGGGCGTTACAACTTGGTATCAGAGCGTACCGGGTTTGAATACTTTGGGTACGTAGGAAGTGGTTAGTACCACAATGGGTTTGTCTCGCTTTACAAAGATGTTTGTATGCTAGTAATGTTGTGTGATAACATGTCGATTGGGTATGGGATTTAGTTCCTAACATGTTGATTGGGTCTACGGGTTTCTGGAAGTTCTATTAGAAGAGCACTTGATCACTGTTGTTTCTAATTGGAACTCTAGCAACGCCGCGAGACGGTCATTATCTAAGAAGGAAATTTGTATGTGTTTACATGATTGTGTGCTTATATGGAGTGATTTACTGTTGTCCATCGCACTAGGACGCGAGTGAGTTAGCTTCAGCACATTTATGAATGTGCTAATCTTTTTGTTACCTTTATTAGGATGTCAGGATGAGGTCGTGATGGTAGGCGTGGTAGGCCTAAGAGGCACGAGATGCCTATACCGGATGAAATTTCGGCGCAAGAAGAAGGGGTTGGTCAGGCCAACGTAGTCGAGCCAGTAGGTCAACAGGCCATGTGCACCTTAGCCCGGGAAATGGCAGGAGCTTTGCGGGAATCTATGGACATTCTCAGAGCTAAGAATCAAGTTCAGGCCTAGGTTGCGGAGGCAGGGCCATCTTTTCTGAAGAGGGAGTTTTTCTGGTAGAACCCGGGTGAGTTTTTGGGCAATCCTAAGGAACCACTGAAAACGGATGAGTGGTTAGAGCAGATGGTGAAGACTTTTGAGATGCTCGGCATCAAAGACGGGGGTTTAAGAGTGACTTTGGCGTCCTTCCAGTTAAAGGGAGACGCGGATCAATGGTGGAAGTATGCACGGGGACGCATTGGAGGGACTTGGGAGACTTTTGTCGACACCTTCCAGGACAAGTTTTTGCCTCCCACTGTTAAGGAGAAGTTAAGGGACTAGTTTTCTAACCTGGTGTAGTTGAATACACCAGTGGCTAAGTTTGAAGTCATATTCACTAGCCTCTCTAGGTTTGCACCTGAGTTGGTGGCGACAAAGGAGCGCCGTTGTTTGGAGTTTGAGAAGAGGCTGAGGACCGAGCTCATGTTTAGAGTGGCCAGTTCCATGATTAGAGACTATGGGCGCCTTATGGAGGCAACAACCCATCTTGAGACCATTATGCAGGCAGAGGAGGAGAGGATAAGGGGCTCTAGGAAGAGTCAGGATAGTCAGGGGGATGATAAGAGTCAAAGGGGTTCTAACCCTCAGTCATCCTAGGGAGCTCGGTCGAGGTCCACCTTTCCAGTATCGAGTTCGGGTTCTGGAAGGGGTGGTTAAGGAGATTTTATTTGTTACAAATGTGGTCAGTTGGGCCACAAGTCTCCAGCTTGTTCGTGGAGAGTATGAGAGCAACGATCTGCACCATCTTCGGCTCATTCTCAGAGCCAAAATCTAGGTAGGGACAACCGCCCACTTGTTATCAGTGTGGGCAAGTAGGCCACCTGAACAGATTTTGCCAACAATTGGATGGCACATCTGGTGCGTCTGGTTCAAGGCAGACATAGAGTCACTAACATGCACAGTCAACACAGGCCTCGAGGGCCAATTAGAAAGCCTTTTCGGCTCAGTCAGTGCATCAGGTATATGCTCTAAGAGGTGAGCAGGTTGAGCAGAGACC